GATTACATAGTATAATGGCGTAATGGAAAACATTTGTGTGCACATGTGTATACTCGATGTATGCAACATTTATTGATAATGACTGTGATGTAACATTATGTGCAACACAATTAGTGACTAATATTGCTAATAAAATAGGCCTAGACACTGTAAATAATGACGCGAAAATAAATTCGTGGGAACTCTGGCTGCTTGAAGACCGCGCGCGACGCCTCTGGGATGCACCATACATGAGCGAACATGCAAATAGTGACGTCATCGCCATCTTGTCGGCGCTATTACGTTGCTGGTAAGTACAATTGATTTTTGTCCCCCCCTCCCCGGTGATCAGGGAACACGACTTTACAGGTTAGGAAGAATTTTTTTTTTTTTTTTTTTTATTTAGTATGCGCCTGTGGGTGACAAATGCTAAATAGCCCGGAGCCACACAAGGGTTAAAACACTTTATAAAAAATTACATCTAATATGGCAAATGAACATTAGTGTAGAAGAGAAACCATTCCTGTGATAAAAATGTGTGTAATACTTTCTGTGAGGGCTTTTATGATGGCCCTTTGGTGCTTGTTACTTTGTGAGTTCCACCCAATTCAGTCCATGCCAGGGATAATCATATAAGCCTGCTAGGGCCAGAAGCTAAAACCTTGCTGCCCTAAAGAATTTCAAGGACCAGGTTATCGTAATTCACCCTAGCAGAAAGGAGGATAAGTCAATACAGACAACATCTCAGTAAATAAACCACTGGGGTGTGAAGCACTTTAACCTAATCTATCCCTATCTTAACTATGGTATCTGTGCATGGGGTTCAACCACTGCAAACCACCTCAAGTCCATCATCACCTAGCAAAAATCTGCTATCAGAAAAATAACAGATTTTGCTTTCAGACAACGCTCAGCCCCCTTGTTTAAATCCCTAAACATCCTAAACATAAACTCACTCCACACTTTCTCGGGGGTTTCTTTAGCCCCCAGTTCCATCTCGGTTACTGCCCTTGCTGAGGGGCGCTCCCCTCTTTCTGCCCCTCCTCTTCCTTCTCCTCCAGACCCTGCTCGTCCACCTCTGGTCTGTCCTCCCATTTCTTTCCCTTCTTCTTTACTCAGTTTACCCATGCCCCCTAACCCTGACTTTGGTGATCCTGATCCTGTGCTTTTTTAATGTGTTGTATTCCTTCTTCACCTTTGTTCTTTGCTCTCTGTTGCTCTCCTCTCTCTCTTTGCCGATGTCTATTCTTCAATGGAACATCTGTGGATATTACGCCAATTTCCTTGACCTCCAACTACTCATTTCACAGTTTTCGCCCCTTTGTGTCTGTCTCCAGGAGCCGATGCTTGGTGCTCGTCCTGGTCACTTCCGTGGCTATTCTTTTCTCTCTCTCCCCCCCCCCCCCCTGCAACAGCTGGGGCCTATAAATTCTTCTGCTCTCTTGCTCCGCTCTGATGTTCCCTTTGTCCCCTTACTTTTTTCCTTGCCTCTCCTCTTTTCTGCTGCCCATGTCTTTGTGAGTAGATGGTACACGGTTTGTTCCATTTATCTCCCCCCCCCCCCACTGTCCCACTTTCTCTTCCCGATCTTAAACACCTCCTAGACTCCTTGCCGGAGGCTGTGCTCCTGCTGGGTGATTTAAATTGTCGTCATGCCCTTTGGGGTGCAAACACCCGGGGTCACCTCCTTGAACCTTTCATCTTCTCTTCTTCCCTGTCCCTTCTTAATTCTGGTGAGCCCACTCATTTGGACTCTCGGAATCGCTCTCTTTTTTGTCTCGATCTTTCTCTGTGCTCGTCATCCCTTTCCTTAGATTTCGGGTGGTGGGTCCTTGATGACCTCTGTGGCAGTGACCATTTTCCTATCTTTGTTACTTTTTTCTCTTTTCACCCTCCTCTCTCCTTCCCTAGGTGGCGTTTTGCCAAGGCTGACTTGCGCCTCTTTACTCTCCGTGCTACTATTTCCGACCTATCCGTTCTGCTTCTCCTTCGCGCCCTCCTTCTTTTTCATGACACTGTCTTTGACGCTGCCCTCCACTCTATTCCTCGCTCATCCTCTCGGGGAACGCGGAAGTGCATTTCCTGGTGGAATGTGGACTGTGCTTGGGCTGTCCGCTGTAAGCGTGCAGCCTGGAAGAGACATCACCGCCGGCAGACGGTTGAGTCTTTTCTTTTGTTTCGGAAAGCGAGTGCAGTGGCCCGTAGGACCGTCCGTGCGGCTAATAGTGCTTGCTGGAAGTCTTTTGTCTCCACCGTTATGTCCGAAACTCCTCTCCCGCTGGTCTGGAAGTGTATCCGCAAGATTGCGGGTAAGTTCGTTCCCGATGTCTCACCGGTCCTTCACCTCCATGGTGCTCTTGTGGTGGACCCATTGCAGGTCGCGACCGAACTGGGTTCCCATTTATCTGTTAGTTCTGGTTCTCATCTTCCCCAATCCTTCCTTCTTCGTAAGCCTATTCTTGAATCTCATCCTTTAAATTTCTGTACTTATCTTCGCCTTCCCTATAATGATCCCTTCTCTCTCTCTGAGCCCTAGCTCTTTGCGGTTCTACGGCAGCGGGCTCCGATGGATTCATTATGAAATGCTTCGCCATCTCCCTCCGTGCACGTCTCAGTATTTACTGAGTCTGTACAATCGGGTCTGGGAGTCGTCGCCAGTCCCTGAAAACTGGCTCGATGCTGTTGTCCTCCCTGTTCGGAAACCAGGGTCTCTCGGGTCATCCTCCAAGGACTTCCGCCCTATTGCCCTCACGAGTTGTGTCTGCAAGCTCTTTGAACGTATGATTAACGTTCTTTTGATGTGGTTCTCAGAACACTATCACCACCTCTCCCCTTCTCAATTTGGTTTTCGCAAGTGCCGCAGCACAACGGATGTCCTGGTGAACTTGGAGGTCTATATTCGTACTGCTTTTGCTGCGAAGACCTCCGTTGTTGCCGTCCTTTTTGACCTGGAAAAGGCTTACGACACTACCTGGTGGTATCATATTCTGTCTCAACTTCATTCTTTTGGCCTTCGTGGGACTCTCCCTCTCTTCCTCCAGAGCTTCCTCACTCGTCGTTCCTTTCGTGTGCTGCTTGGTACTACCCTCTCTGCCCCTTTTCGGCAGTATGAGGGTGTATCCTAGGGTAGTGTTCTGAGCACCACTCTTTTTCTAGTTGCCCTCAACAGTTTTCTTTCCTCTCTTCCTTCTGGCATCTTTTCCGCTCTCTATGTTGATGATCTTACCCTTTGCTGTCAGGGTGATGATTCGTCTCTCCTTCAATGGCGGCTTCAACTTGCGATTGATGCCGTGTCGTCTTGGGCCACCGATCATGGCTTCAAGTTCTCTGCGTCTAAGACTTGTGCTATGACTTTTATTTGGAAGCATGTAGTTCTTCGTCCCTCTTTGTTGCTTTATGGTCATCCCCCTGTGTACAGAGATTCCGCTAAGCTTTTGGGGTTGGTCTTTGACACTCGTTTGTCTTGGTCAACCCATATCTCTTGCCTCCGAGTTGAATGCTCTAAGGCCCTTAACCTACTTAAGGTTTTGTCCCGTACTTCTTGGGGAGTGGATAGTCACATGCTCCTCTATTTGCACTCCTCTCTCGTCCTGTCTAAACTTGATTATGGTTGCCCTGCATACTCTTCTGCTTCTCCTTCTACTCTTCTCCGTCTTGATGCTTTGCACCATACTGGGTTGCGTCTCAGCTCTGGTGCCATTCGTTCGACTCCCGCCCTCAGTTTGTATGTTCACACTGGCTTTCTCTCTTCAGGACTGCTGTGATCGCTACTGTCTTCGCTATCTTGCGAGGTCCTTACAACATCCTTCCTCTCGCCTCTGTCGTGCTTTAACTTTTACTCCTCCTGTAGCTCCTGTTCCTCTTCTTCGTCTGCCTCTTTCTGTCCGGTTATCTTGCTTACAGGATTCTCTTTCGGTTTATATTTCTAATGTTTCTCCTCATATTGTTCCTGCCTTGCCTCTGTGGAGAGTCCCCCTTCCTAAGTTTTGTACATCTTTGACTTGTATTACTAAAGCCTTTACCCCTCCTACGATTCTGAAAAGCCTCTTCCTTGAGCACTTTTCTTCGCACTCCCACTCTATTTCCATCTTTACCGATGGGTCTAAGTCTGAGGACGGTGTGGGCTACTCTGTTGTTTTTCCTAACTGCACTTACACGTGTTGCCTCCCTTCGGAGGCTAGCGTCTTTACAGTAGAACTTTATGCTATTCTCTATGCTCTCTGTCTCTTGCTTTCTCATTATCATTCCTCCTCTGTGGTTGTAGTTGACTCTCGTAGTGCCCTCATGGCTCTAGGGTCCTTTAATCCTGTCCATCCGGTGGTCATCAAGATTCAACATTGGCTGTTTCTTATTTCTAGTAAATTTAAATCAGTGGAGTTTTGCTGGGTTCCCAGCCATATTGGTGTTTCTTTCAATGATGGTGCAGATGCTGCCGCTAAGTAAGCTATCCGTTCTTGTCCCATCTCCCGTAAAGGTATTCCTTATTTCGACTTTTATCCTGTTATTCATTCCTCCATCCTTGCTCGTTGGCAGGGTTGTTGGTCTTCTGTAGTTAGTAACAAGCTGCGTACTCTCAAACGTAGTGTGTCCCCGTGGCCTTCCTCCTTCCACGGTAACCGGCGGTGGGAAACTGCTTTGGCAAGGCTGCGGGTTGGCCATACTTGCTTAACCCACGGTTACTTATTGGAGCACCGCCCTGCTCCTTATTGTTCGTTGTCCCTCTTACAGTTGTGCATATCCTTGTTGAATGTCCTGACTTCAAGGACAAGCGTGTCTCTTACTTTCCGACCGTCCCTTGCGGTCACTTGTCCCTCGATAGAATTCTGGGTGAATCGGATACTTTGGATATCGTTCTCCTTATGCGTTTTTGTTCTCGTATTGGCATTCTTGGTGATATTTAGAGGCCTCTGATTATTTCGCACTTTGATGGTGCTACATAGCCTTCCCGGTTTGGTGCCTTCTTTTGATAATTACCTTACCTCCACACATTCTCTTGTGTCAATTATATTTAAAAAACCCTGTTCTTAAATGCAAACCCTGCACTGAAACTCTCCCTGGACAGATGAAAAAGGACCCGTTATCACCACACCAGAAAAAAATATCTCTTTGATATTCCCAGAGTCAAACTTAATCTGTGTAAACACACTATGCAAATAAAGGGACGTAGTCTATGGAACTCACTCTCTAATGAATTGAAAAGCTGTTCAACTTTTGCATCATTCAAAAACAAAACTAAAAAGTACCTAATTTCATCTTCATAGTTTCCTACCTTGTACTTTAAAATTGCACTGCATCTAGTGCTACCCAATC